GGAGGTAGCAGGGGGTGGCCAGGCCCCAGGGTGGGTCACAAACCCCGGGGGTTTCAGGGCATGGGGGGCATCCAGCCCCCCACGCTGTGTAGCCCCTGGGGGTCTGGTGCCCCTGTCCCAGGGCTGTTGGGTGTCCCGTGCTCAGTGACTCACCGGGACTCATCCCATGACTCACAGCCTCCCTCCCCACGGAAAAGGGCCGTCATGGGGCTGAGATCACCCCAGGAGCAGCGGCGGAGGTGGAGGCACAGGCTGACACTGCAGTTTTCCGGGCTGCTGGAGAAGATTCCGGCTGTTTCCGTGGCACGGGGAGGCTCCGTGCAGCTCTACCTGACACCTCACCCGTGCCAGCCATGGAAAATGGGATGGGGTTTGTGCCTGTTGGCAGCAGAGGGGAGCGTCCAGGTGAGTCAGAGCATCCACCTCCGACACCACTGAGAGACCCTGGGAGAGGCTCAACACCTGGAGAAAGGTGCAGCTTTCCAGGGGGATTTGCCCCTGGAAATTTCTGTGTGCTGGGAGCACCGAGGGGTTTTACATCAAACAGCTCCCACTGACACCATTTGACCTGTATTTGCATTGCCAGGTGGATTTTTATGAAAAATCCTTTTCCTTCCACTGTATTTCCATGCCAGGCCTGCAGCAGATTTTTCTTCCCCCCCCGCCCCCAAATTCAACACCACCTCTAAAAAGTCACCACTGTTGTTCCAAAACGTCAAGCATTTTATTAAAAAAATAATTTATTGCATCTTATATACAAACCACATGAATGTTCACTTATAAAATACTGACACCTCACCTGTTGAAGGCAGGAGGAGCGAGTTTTCCAGGTGTGCACCTGGCTCTGACTCCAGGGAGGGATGTTTGGATCGACCACTAAACCAGCTCCGCTCGTTTCCACGGCGTTCCCAGCTCAGGGTTCACTTATCACACAAACAGGTAAGCCCAGAGCCCAAAATGAGGTGCAGCAGGTTTAGGTGCTCTTAGTCCTGTTGTATTTTATGGAATTAGGGAGGAAAGATGTAATCTAAGGGAAAGAGGGTGAGTCTGGACGCCCTGTGGGATTTAACACTCTGGCTTTTCCCCCTGAAGATATTCCCTGAGTGTTTCTAAGATTTCAAGCACAACAGGCAGACCCAGACCTAATTCCACAATGTTTGCACTGTGTAAGTGATCCCACTGAGGCCATCAAACAGCACGGGATCGAGCTGTCAGCTGAGGACAGCCCTCAGTGCTCGGAGTTAACAGCAAAATGCACAATGATTTCACAGGGGGAAAACTGGGATCAGGCTCTACCAGAGCTCACAGGCAGGGGGGAACAGGGAACAGGGAAGGAAACCCCTCACACTCCATGAAACCCCACACACTCCATGAAATGGAGGCCAGCAGGAGCCGCTGTAAACATCTGCTGAGCCGGAGCTGCTTCTGCACGGATCCTCCAGCCTCAGCCCTAACGAAACACGCAGTTCCCAAAGAGTCCGGAGCGCTTCTCTCCCTAAATCCCCTCTCCTGGATCTGCTGTGGATCCTGGCAAGGTGTGGGGAGCATCCTGGTGTGCTCAGCAGGGCACACACAGCCCCGGAGCCTCGTAGAGCATCTCCACCAGCAGCTCCGCGATGTCGGCGTCGCCGATGACGGGCCGGAAGAACAGATCCGTGATGAGGGTGGGGGGGATGGATTTTAAGGAGGAGGCGACCAGTAAAATGTGGGAGAAGCGTCCCTGGTCGTCGGGGTGCAGCGGCTGCACGACCTCCTGGAGGGCTCGCTGGGCCTCCCGCTGCAGGCTCTCGATGTAGAGGGAAACCCTCAGCCCGGGGATGTCTGTGAGGGAGAGGAGGGGAAGGTGGGGATGAAGCAGGATGGAAGACAGCTCCAGGTTTCCCCTACTCCCACCCTTCCCTATTTCTCAGCAGGGCACACTAATGGGATGTAGACAGCGCTGCTGAGATGTGGCTATTCCAGGGATGCTGTGTGAGGGAGGAAAAGCAGTTAACTGGGAAAATCAAGTAAAGGAACCTGGAGTTTGCTGTCTGCAGGGCAGGCAAAGTCCTCTGGCTTTTACCACTACATTTGACATCCCTCCACCCTGCTTCCCAGTGCATTTGGGAATGACCAGAATTAGGAAGAAGGTGACCAACCCTCTCTGCTCTGACACCTGCCCAGCTCTGAGCAGCTCCAAGCCAAGAGGTCTATGTTTGCCCAGGGAGCTGGTGGAGTCCCCATCCCTGGAGGTGTTCAAGGAATGACTGGATGTGGCACTCAGTGCTCTGGTCTAGTTGACAAGGGGGTGATCACAGGCTGGACTCGATGATCTTGGAGGCCTTCTCCACCCTCAGTGATTCTGTGATTCAGTGTTCAGCTGCCAGCTCCAGCCGGCAGAGCCACGAGGGCCTGGCACTCACCTGGATTGAAGAGGATAGCTCCCTTCAGATAGGCATATTCCTTGGGGCTCAGATCCAGGCTCCAGAAGGTGTTGAGGCAGCACTGCAGCCGCTGCACTGCAGCCAGTGTGGGCTGTGTCCTCTCAGGCTCCTGCCCTTTGCTTTGCCCGCTGAGGAGGATCTTCTTGAGCATGCTGGGGGCCGGCGCCTCCATCACCTCGAAGGTCACCATCTCCTGCACCAGCCCCAGCAGGAAGAGGGGCACCCAGCAGCTATCCAGCAGCAGGAGCTGGTCCTCCTTCGGCAGCAGGTAGAAGGAAGGGAGGTTTTTCATGAAGCTGATGGTTTTGACCAGCACGTCGGAGGCCGCCTGGCAGGTGACGTGTGGCGTGCGCAGCCGGACGGTGCGGCGCTGGTGGCACAGGCAGCGCTGCCGGGCCCGCCCGGGGTGCAGGTTCTGGCTGAGGAGGGTGTAGAGGATGGCAGTGTTCTTATCCTTGCTGTGGCACTGGCACCTCTCGCACTCCATGCCCACGCTGGTGCTCATAGCTGAGCCGGGTCCTCGGCGAAACTCCCGTAAAACCCCTCCTTAAATCTCCGTCCTCCCAGCTCTGCCAGCCCTGTGGCTGCTCCAGCCAGCTCTTATAAGGCTTGGTCACCACTGAAACACCCCTCCACAGCCTTGACCGCCCTGATTAAGCCGCCCTCATTAAAAAAAAAACCATCCAACCAGCCCCGCTGTCCCTGGGCTGATTGGCCGGGGGCAAATGAGTTCCCAGCGCTGCGTCAACAGCCGTTTTCTCAATGAATCGCCGGGGAGGGGGGGACGGCGGGGTTGGGCCGTTATCAGGATTACCCAAACAGGATAAACAGAGTCATTAGCCCAGGCTGTACCATGGCACCAAGGCCCCTGAGCTGTCGTGGGGCGGGTGTCGCTGCCAGGACCTCACAGACAAACAAAGGGCGCTCGTCTGGGCCCTGGAGTTCAACGGCCCGGCCTTGGCAGGAGCAACCTGGAAGTCGTGTTATCAGCGGCTGGTTTTGCCCGGCCTTGCTCGGGAGGCTCCTGTTGTGGTTGGGAGGAAGAGGAACCTGGTGAAGTGCCCAGGAAGGGCCACGGGTGTTGTCTGTTGGGCTGGAGAAGGGCAAATGCCCCCATTTGCAGCATGAGAGAAAAGGGAGGAAAAAAGGGCAGAATTCTTACGTTCTCCCAGTGGAAAAGGACCTGGGGGAGCTGGTCAGCAGCGGCTGAATGTGAGCCCAGGTGGGCAAGAAGGCCAAGGGCACCTGGCTTGTACCAGCCATGGTGTGGCCACAGGACCGGAGCAGTGACTGTCCCTTTGTGCTGGGCACTGCTGAGGCACTTCCAGGGTGAGGATTCCTGCGGGGGACAGGGGGAACCTTTGAAGGAGGATGAGGAGGGAGAACCTCCCCCCTCAATTCTCTCGCCAGGGATCATGTTGGACCCCAGCCCCGGCGGGACGCGGAGGAGAGGGGGGCGCAGGG